TCGAGATTATTCCCCCTAAAAATTGGATGGTTCCAATACAATCTTGGGATGCCATTTTGTTTAGCCATATAGAGAGTGAGATTTTAAAAAAAAATTCATCGAGATTAGTTCATGGGTTCTAAAGATGACATCCCCAAACTTCGAGATCACAAATATATTCCAAGCTTAAGTTTTTCTGAAGGAAGTAAACGGCTAGTATACTCCCATAGGAATAGAAAACGTTTTAGCATTATTATTATGAAAGTGTTCCTTAAATGCTCCAAGTATTTTGAAGCGATCTTAAGATAGAGATTAAGTTCCTAAGGGCCGTTTGGTCCCCTGGATTCATATTTCCTCTGAGTCATTTTTCTTAGAAAATTTGGGTTGATCGTGTTTGGTTCGCTTAGAATTGATATTTCCATTGGAATTGAGATTTTCGTAGGATTCCTGAATGCTCATTTTAGACTTAAATTTTGAAAATCTCAATTCGACCAAAATAGGTGGAATTGACATTTCTTGGAAATGACCCATTTTTGTTGTTGAAGAACAAAATGGTATTAAATTTCTATAGAAGAAAACTATTTCAAATTTTAAAAAGGAAAAACATATTAAAATTTTAGAGAGGAAAATTATATCAAATTTTAGAGAGAGAAAGCATAAAAATTTTTTTAGAGAGATAATATATGCGAATTTTTTAGAGAGATATTATCTCAAATTTTTAGAGAGAGAAACTATACCAAATTTACAGTTTTAGAGAGAAAAACTATATCAAATCTTTGGTTTTAAGGAGAGTGTATCTTAAAATTTTAGAGAGAGAAACTACATTAAATTTTAGAGAGGAATTCCGTAAATTTTTTTAGAGAGAAGTACCACAAGACATTTAAAGAGAGAAATTATCTCAAATTTTAAGTTTTAGAGGGAAAGCATATTAAAATTTTAGAGATTAGAAATTATATCAAATTTTAGATAGAGAAACCACCTAAAAATTTTTAGAAACAAAAACTATCTCAAATTTTAAATTTTAGAGAGATAAAATATCTTAAACCCTTAGATAGATAAACTATATCAAAATTTAGATAGAGAAAGTGCCTAAAATTTTTAGAGGGAGAAACTATTTAAAAAAAATTAGATAGAGAAACTATATGAAAATTTATGTTTTATTGAGAGAAAATATATTAAAATTTTAGAGAGATAAACTATCTCAAAATTTAAGTTTTAGGGTGAGAAAACATCTTAAAATTTTAGAGAGAGTAACTATGTCAGATTTTAGAGTGAGAAAGTACCTAAAATTTTTTCGAGAGAGAAACTATTTTAATTTTATCTTAATATTTTTAGAAAGAAACTATCTCAAATTTTAAGTTTTAGATAAAGAAAGTACATTAAAATTTTAGAGAGAGGAACTTATCATATTTTAGACAGAGAAACTATCTAAAATTGTTTACAGAGAGAAACTATCTCAAAATTTTTAAAGACAGAAGCTATTTCAAATTTTAAGTTTTTGAGAGAGAAAGTATTTCAAAATTTTAGAGAGAAAAACTATATCAAATTTTAGAGAGAGGATATATATAAATATTTAGAGAGAGAAACTATCTCAATTTTTTTAGCGAGAGACTATTTCAAATTTTAAGTTTTTGAAAGAGAGCATTAAAATTTTAGAGAGATAAACTATCTCGAAATTTTTAGAGAGAGAGAGAAAGGATTTGCGTTTCCAAAAAAAAGATATTGAAGGCAATCCAAACAAGGAATTTGCATTTTATTAATTTCTCTCAGATGCGATGCAAACAGGATACACCAGATTCCTGGAAGTGTCAATTCCAATAAATCTCAATTTTAGGATTGACTTTTTCAGGATTGAAAAATTCAAGGATTCAAACGGGCCCTAAAAGATTTGAAAAGAGTAGAAAGGCCCCTCAATAGTTTATAAACTTTATATGTACATGGAATACTTCTTATATTCTCTCTCATGGGGTTAGAGGATATTTTTGGGATGTATTAGTATTTGTTAATGAGCAATTATCCAATGCAACAGTTGTATTATAGTATAATGCAACGACACTTCTAGAAAACCATGTTTGTGATATTTGTATAATCATAAATTTTGTATGCACACTCTCTTCATCTCAATAATCAATCCTCCCAAAAAAAAAAAAAGTTCAATTTCAACCATAGATATAGTCAAAATGAGTCCCCTCCAAAAATGAATCTAGACCATACATTTTGTGAATTTCAATATCTTACATTTATAAACTCAAAATCATGTTTTTATTTTTTAACATTGTTCATC